GAAACTGGTTTTTGTCCCAGCATGGTGAGTCCATGCTGCTGGTTTTACCATTTTGATTGGCTCACTCATTCCAGCCCCTGATCATAGAATAGTTTTGCTCTTCCACCTGCTGAACCGTCCAGTTGCCTAGTGGGATTTCTGTTTGATGTAGTAGCTTGGTGACAGGACATTTATTAGAGAGGGCAAAGAGGAGGCATAATAAGTGGACCTCAGCAATGCACCATAGCCATGGTTCTCAATCTTTGGAATATGAGAATCTCCTGGGGAACTTGAGGGGAAAACAACAGGGTTGACCTGCCTCCATGATCTCTATTTTCTTCATCAGCTCTCCAGGTGATCGTGATTCCCACCAAAATGTGTGAAACACTACTCTATGTATGGACATCAAAAACCGGGGTCTAGAAGCAGGCTGATTTGGGCCCAAATTTCTCTCTGAGCCTTAGTTTCTACCTCAAAAGTGTTGCTATGATTAGTACCCACGTCTTAGGATTTATGTGACACTCATTGAGAAAATGGAGGGACGCCTGGGTGGCTCGGTCGGTTGGGCGACTGCCTTCGGCTCAGGTCATGATCCTGGAGTCCCGGGATCGAGTCCCGCATCAGGGTCCCTGCTCGGCGGGGAGTCTGCTTCTCCCTCTGACCCTCCCCACTCTCGTGTGCTCTCTCTCATTCTCTCTCTCTCAAATAAATGGATGAAGTCTTGAAAAAAAAAAATCCTTAGAGAAAATGGATACGAAGTGCTTATTATCTTTGTAATTGTAACTATCAGTGCAATTTTTTGTATGACCAAATAGAAATCTGACAAAGATTTTGACATCTCACAAAAATAGCTTATTCATATATTTATTCATTCATTAACATTAATGCCATTGGTTTATTAGAATTTTAGTAGCAATTCTAGATTGCATATATATATAGGAGATGGCTCATTTATATTTGTTGATTTTAAGGCCGGGTTGTCCTGGGAGCTTCTGTAATGCTAAATGACTTCAGTATTCTTAAGACAAAGCACATGCGATTCCATCTGATTAAATTGTCCAGTCTCTTTGCAGTTAAAACCTATTTTTTTTTCCTTTTCTCATCTGTGTTTACTCCAAGTAGCCCTCTTTGGCACTCCAAGAGAGTTCTCTGTCTCTGTGCATGTGTGTGTACTCGCCAAACACTATGACATCATGTACCCTTCCTTCATAGAGACCATCACAGTTGTAATTTTATATTTATTTAAGCGGTACTTGCCAAAATCTATCTTCCCCACCAGGCTAGCTATCAATCCGACGAGGGGCCATCTGTCTTAACCCAAGATTAGTGAGTGTAGAGAACAGTGCCTGTCACAGGGTAAGTGCTCAAGAAATATTTAATGGATGAGTATGGTTATTTTACAACCAACAGTCTGTATTTTACTTCATCAGGCGCAATGCTGAATACTTTACAAATAATGGCTCATTTAACCCCTCTAACAACACTAAGGTAGATATTAAAATTAATCCCCTTCTACAGATGAGGAAACTGAGACACAAAATAGCTGAGTCATCTGTTCAAGGTCATACAGGTAGAAAATGGGAATGTCAGAGTCAGACCCACACCCACACCCACAGACCCACACAGCATGTCTCTGAGCGAGAACAACATGTCTGTATTCACCAGGACACTGTGCGGCTTCCGTACCAAAAAAAGCCAAACTGTTGAGGTCTTCAGGACACCACTCAAAAGCAAATATATGCTACATTACTACTTGACTGAACGCTCTGAGTTTTCCCCTCAGAGTCCATGGACCTTCAGAGGAGGTAGTGAAGACACAGGGCTATTTCAGTTACCTTTTCCGCAACACTAAGACACAGCAGCTAGATTGAAATGCCAGGCTGGAGAGCCCAGAGTGGTGACAGGGCATACAGGTGAGGAACAGCTTGGGAGGCTGCAAAGGGGCCCAGAGCATCAATGCTGAGGAAAATTCACCAGCAAGTAATACAGCATGTTCTATCTTCCCGGGCCATCTGCAAGCAATAGGATGGTAAGCAAAGCTCCTGCCATCTGAACCAAGGCATAAATTTGAGGCCAAGAGGGTGGCAATACTGAGATCTTACAAATTGGGCTGGAACTGCTCAAGTCCCACCTGCTGAAGTTCAGGATTTGCTCCGGAATCCTGCTTCTCAAAGTCCGGGCAGCATGAGGATCATGTGGGGCTTGTTAAAATGGAGGATTTGCCCTGGAGCCCTGCTTATTAAAGTATAAGCAGCATGAGCATCATCTGGGGATTTTTAAAACTGCAGTGTATCTGGCCCCACCCCAGACCTCCTCAATCAGAATCCGCATCTTAGGAGATACTCAGGAAATTCATATATACATGCATTTGGGAAGCAAGAGCAGTTCTCAACTTACAGGTGCAGGTAGCCAGCGGGCTCACAGGGAGGAGGAAGAGGAGGAAGCTAAGCATCAGCTATGTATGTGAGTGAAAAGGACAGGGGCTCTGGTTCAGACGTCCTGCTCCTTTTCTATGTTGTGCTGTAGTGCATACAGACAGCCTTTATGATACTTGCTTTCTTTCCTGAAGTCTGTTTGTTCTCGCTCAGATCAGAGGGACGTTCTGACTGCTGCTTTCCTTTCTTTTTCTTCTCTTTTAAATGTTCCATAGTCACCTACCTGCACATTAGCCGCAATACTAGTCCCTCCTTCCTCAATGGGCTCTTGCATTTCCAGCAGACACAGGATGGAGAGAAGCGTTTTGACGCGGTAGACATTTTCAGTGATGAGGTTTCCTTTAAAGATGTTTTCTTCTGAGCTGAGGCATGGATATATCCTTGCTACAATCTGAGCCATTTCAGTAGTTCCTATTCTAGGCTGGTTTGGGATTCAGACCTGTGACACGCGGCAGAAGAGTTTACTTCTGAACCTTGGACGTGTTCTGTCTAGGGTACTTCTTCCTGAAGGGTGTTTTGTTTGCGTGTTGCGCATAGAGGCTCCAGGTGCTGTGAGTGTTTCAGTTGTCTGGCTACTTAAAAAATTACCTCCAGTGTTACTGGCTTAATCATCAACTACCACTGTGCAATGGGAGCTGGTCTTAGCTAAGTGGTTCTTCTACCACGGTCTGCTGGAGGGCTGCAATCTCCAAAGAAGTTTTGCTGAGACGGGCTGGGCTTTTTCCACAGGACCTATCATCCTCCTGTCAAATGTCTTAGAGCACGGCAGCTGGATTCCAAGAAAGAGAATTCCACAAAAACAAGCCACAGTCAGGCCAGGGCTTCCCAGCCTCTGCCTGCGTCACACCTGTCCATGTCCCACGGAGAAGGGCATAGTGCAGCAAAGGGGACGTGTAGATAGGTATGAAGCCCTGGAAGCAGGGTCTAATTAGGGGTCATTGTCACAATCTAGCACTGTTGATTACTTGGGCTTTTGGGGGGGCCAGGTGGGAGGGGGGGACATGGGGCAAAAAGCTGCAGACCAGTCACCATGTATGCATGTGTATACATGACTGAATGCATATATTTAGTGTTTTTGGAAACATCGGGGACTCATGTGTATTTTCCTTAAAGATTTTCCTTTGTTTAGGAATATTGTGTTCTACTTAATAGTCGTCTGGAGGCAGGGCTGTGGTAGAACAGGGATGCAGGAGGACTTCCAGCCGGATAGCTTAATCAGTATTGATATCGGAATGTGATCACATATTCTAGCCAGATTACTTTCAAATCAGTTAAGGTAGTGGGATAAAAGGACAGTTGGCCAGCATGTACTGACATGAGCCTGGAAAATGACCTAAGAGATGCCAAATACTCTTTCTATTTTCCCTAAAATATTATATAATCTCTTGTGCTTTGTTTTTTTCCTTTTTACTCTGTCTCATTTACTTATTTCAGATTTTCTATTTATAGTAGGTTTCATATATGTCAGGCCATGAATTTGGTGTTAGCCACTTAGTGACGAATAGAGTTAACCTGATAAGCTCCTTTCATGGAGTTTAGAGTCTGAAGCTATTTTTTTATGGTCTTAAAACGAGGGGAAAACTGAGTAATTTAAATAATGTGAAAGCAAGTCCATCTCCTGTGGTTGTTAACACTGAACTCTGTAAGTTTCCAAAGTCTTCTCACCACCCCAAACAAGGTGCTGTGAGGGAAGGAGATAGGGCCGTCTTCATTTCTGCAGAAAGATGAAAGGAAGATGAGGGAAGCATACACTTGCTCATGTTCCCCTGACTTAGGAAGTGGTGGAGCTGGCCCTCCAGCCCGCCTCGTGATACTGAATTCTGTCTGATTCTCCTAAGACCTTGTGGCTCCGTTGGAACATTTAAGGCTGCACTCCTAAAGAGGTAGCAAGAGATTTCCTGGGGACCTGGCCTCTTGAGTTTCTGCTCCTCACACACACCCCTGCACTCGGTGAGCAACACTGAGCTTTATGTTAGACTCGCATTTACTTGTGGCCTTTTCAGAAACTTCCATTTTGGTTAGAATATCAATGACACAATGGAGCATTATTAAAGGGAGGTGTTAAAATGCTATTCACAGGTCAGTAGCTCACGTAGTCTGAGATGCAGCATTACCTAATCATTGACTTTGGGCATGCTTCTATTTCATCTGAGCCTCTGTTTCCTCATTGGCAAAGTGGGAATGATAGTAGTTGCCATATTGGTTGTTGAGACGAATAAAAGAACCTATGTGAAGCACAGAATCCTCTCCATAGTAAGCACTGAAATTATCAATTACTATCTTGATGATGAGGAGAAGACACTTTGTCCCTGGTCTAGCATCACTGGAGATGCAAGACATGTTGTGATCATCATGTCATCTTTAAGGCCATTGTGACTGTGTCATTTATAGGTCACATCCCTGCCTAACAGATTGAAATAGGGATTTAGCCATAGGTTAGCACTGGAATATATATAGATATTTTTTTATTGACACAAAAGAGCATCCAGTCTACTAAAACAAAGAAAAACCATCACTGGTATTTTTATTTCTAAATGTCCCAGCAGTGCCCCATAAGCAATGACCTTTTCATTTAACTCTGTTTAGGGTTTGATGCCTATTTTACGTCCCGCACACTTGAAAACAACAGAAGAAATGTATGGTTTGCTGAATACTGGGAGGAAAACTTCAACTGCAAGTTGACGATTAGTGGGTCAAAGAAAGAAGACACAGATCGCAAATGCACAGGTAATTTCATTCTAGTTGTCCTTCTCCTGGTACTCTACGTGGCCATCATTGAAATGTCTGCATAGCTGACAGAAGGAAGCTTGGCTGGAGACAAATTGAAAAAGTAAATTGAATTTTACTAGATTGTTCAGAAAATGGAACAGGAGCATAAGTCTTGCAGGACAAGAGTAGAACAGACAAAATTGTATTCTTTTCTGCCTGTCCATCTAGCAGTAATTGACATTTTCATTGATTCTTGGAATTCAAAAGATCCTGTTGCTTTGAATGTTCTCAGTGATAAATATTAGTTCATGTTTTAGCCAGGAGTATGAAGTCATTTTCACATAGACGAAAATCCAGCAAATTCCCTATCAGCACCGGATTTAACTCTTATCTTGGACCATACTGTGTATTTGATTAAAGAAACAAGATACTTGGGTTTAGAGTAATGAGAATTCCAGTGGATTTCCATAGCATCCAAGTTAATGAGTCACCTGCTATTTAAAATATGCTTAAAAATACTTGGGAGGGGGCACCTGGTTGGCTCAGTCAGTAGAGCATGTGACTCTTGATATCGGCGTCATGAGTTTGAGCCCCATGTTGGACTTAGAGTTTACCTAAAAAAATTCATAAGCAGCCTCGTAGGTAACCTTGCATAATTATTCCAAATTAAAAAACGTGTGTGTATGCCATGCGTATATATGTACATGTATGAAGTAGTCAGAAGATAAAATTAAACATTCATTGGTGTATTCACAAATATTTATTGAGCAACTCCTTCCTGTTCACAATACTAGGCACTGTGATCTGATGGTAAGCAAGCCAGGTAAAGACCTGGCTTTCATGCTGCTCAGAGGACAGTGGGGGAAAATTGATGTTATCCCTGTGATCTCTCCATGAATACATAATTATAAACTGTAATAAGCATTCTGAGGGTTATATGGGCCTATAACTAAGAAGTTTCACTTACATTGAAGGCAGAAGCTGTCTCAAAAGACCTTCTTGAAGAGCCGGTAGGCATTGGCTAGTTAGAAAGGGGGAAGGGCAGATAGAATTTCTCATGGAGGAATAACATGACAAAGGGCTTGTAGCAGGAGCAATTATGGTGCCTCTGAGGACATAAAAAACAGAACTACCTGACTGAAGTACAGTGAATAGGACGAATGTGTGAGCTGAAGCTGCTAGTGTAGAGATGTGGACAAGGAATAAACCACGTGGGGACATACGTGGAATTTGGTCTTTACCGTAAGCTTACTGGTACCGGTGGCGGTGGTGGTGGTGGTGGTGGTTACAGAAGCATGTGACATGTTCTACCATCTTACCACCTAGCCCTATATTACATAGCAATACCCAGTTTCATACTTCAGTAGCCTTGATCATTTGTAGTGATGACCTTGAAATACCACAAAACGCTAAAATGTTATTCTAAATGATCTAAAAAACTCACTCATTCGGATATACTGATACTTAGTTTATCTTTGCAGTGTGGGTCTTTGAATATTGGTCATCCAGATACGGTAGATTGGCCCATTCAACAGACACCTATTAATGAGGAATAATGCATGCAAACCATGGTCCTAAACACATCAGGAATGGTGTGAATATGCCTTTTCCTCAAGGTGTTTTTGTGAAGGAGAAGATAAGATAGGAACAGAGCTATGAGTAAATATAATGATACAAAATCACTATTACATAATTAGATAAATAACTCAGTAAATTACAATACCAGATGAACTATATTCTCTATGCCATAGTATATAGCAACAATGTTTTCAGAAATATGATCTTTATAATATTGAAGGGAGGGAGAAAAAAATTACTTCAATGTTGACTAGACCTGGGTGAAACAAAACTCTCAAGAGGAAACAAAAAAATTAGTTTGCCATCTGGATAATTTGTCTATATGACAAGGAACATCCAGGTACACTAGAAGTATCTTGATTAATGATAGCAGTTTTTTGGTTTCTTCTGACATTTTGTGTTCTGTAGAGTCTGGAAGGTGGAATGGATTGTCTTGTGGCCATTAGGATTGTTCTAAGGCCAAGCCCCACACTTTTAATGTTTTGACAACACTGTTTTATCTGTAATCACATTTTCATGCTGATCAGCAAGAATTGGGGTTCATAAAAACAAGCTCATTATCCAAATCATTATCTTTCAAAAATGGATATAGAAGTGTTTTTTTTTTCATACCCCATTCATTCCATGTAAAAAAAAATCTGTGATCATATTTACTAAATTATCTGTGACCCAAAATTATTTCAATACTGTCTCTGCCCTCTTTCCTTCCTTACCACTTTCACCATTGTAAGATGTGCCCTACTGAGTGAAGATAAACACTACTAACCTCATTGTGTCCCTTATTCCTGTCACTGGATATGAGTACATGGGTGGTCGTATGTTTGTTTCTTGTACCGCCTTTCCCCAAATCCAGTGAATCCCATATTCTGCTTTGGAAGTATTCACAAATTACTTTAGACCTTTAGAAACAGTTGACCCTTGAACAACATGGGCTGGAACTGCACGGGTCCACTTAAACAGATTGTTTTCTATAGATACAGTACTATAAATGTATTCTCTTAAAATTTCCTTAACATTTTCTTTAGAATACTTTGTTAGAATACAGCATGTAATACCTATAGCATACAAAATATGTGTTCATTGACTGTGTTACTGGTAAGGCCTCCTTGCAACAGTAGGCTATTAGTAAAGTTTTTGGGGAGTCAAAAGTTACAGGTGGATTTTGACTATGCAGGGGTTGACACCCCTAACCCCCCATGTGCTTCAACTTGGAAGTGGAATGATTGGAGAAAAAGCATGCTGAGAGGGAAGGAAGAGATGGAGAGAAGTGACAGATTGATAAGAGTTCTTGAGACCATGGTGAGAAATTAAGTTTTAATGATGGAAAAGAGTGGATGGGAGAGGGGAGTTTTGATGGGCTTAAGGATGTAGATGATAAAAGGGAAAGATGCTTTGGTAACCAGGTTTAGAAACACAGAAAGAATGGTCACATTGGAAAGAAAGAACCCAATGAGGAAGCAGGCTAAGAAGTCTGGCACTGAAGACAGCAAGTCCGGCTCTAGACAGCATAGACAGTGGATGTTCTGAGGACTGCAGAGAGCAGCCCACCTTGCAGATCTCCCTCTATGACTGGTTCTGCTAAAGAATAAGAAAGTCTTAAAATACTCCTAGGATTTGGGCACAAATTAAAATGCCAACTTGTTTTTCTATATCTTTTTACATAGCCTTTTTAGCCATAATGAGGTATTTATTATATATTAGCTCCAAGTAGATGATCGATGAGTCAATCACCTGGCCAGACAAGCTTTGAAGGTGAGGTGTGGGTCCCATACTAGTTGGAGAGAGCAGATTTCTGCAGTCAGGGAATAGCAGTGAGTTCTGAAAAGCCAAGGTGGTAAAAAGTCATGGAAGGAAGAATAACTGATGAAAAAAATGATATATTATTAAACTGTGTATACTTCATAATTTAACTTGGAGCTAGATGTGCCTGAATTCTTATAGAAACTTATCTGAACAAATGGGCAATTTTTATTCCTATAAATTATCCATATGCATTTAAATGCATATGTTTGTCTCCTTCAAATATTTTAAGAACATCAGCTTTGCTTGATACCCAATTCCTAGTTCTCTCAACCTTAAGAGCTAGTCATTCTTCATCCTACCTTCCCTGGTGATTCCCTAATTTTTACTGATACAGACTAAGATTTGCTGGTGACCCATCCTGCTCATGGGTTATCTTGACTGACATCCCCCAAGGGGACATACAGTTAAGTTTTTTGGTGGTTTAAGCTTTCACAGAAAGCACAAATTCTTGACAGATACTATGCTGTTTCATAGTAGACCTAGATTTTGTCAGGGACATAGTGCTAGCTACACACACACTAAAGTCCTTCTAGATACTTCCAGAATAAAGTAAGTTCTTCTAGATACATTACAGAATAAAGTCCCTCTCCATACTTCCAGAAGTATACCTCTAGACTATTCATTGTTTGAGGGCAGAAAGCTCAGATGTGATTTTTCTTTTTTTGTGCTTCCCAACTCCCACCTCACTAGCTCAATGTGTTTACCCTTAACACTTGCCAGTATATTGTTGACACAAAGACCAGTTTAGAATATGATCTTTTTGGGAATGACATGTTTTTATGGAGATACCAAGGTTAAGGAAAGAAGGAAAAGTATACAGGTGGTGATATCCCTGAAAAAGAGATTTGAGACCATCCTGGAGTGCAGAAAATCACTCTAGCAAAGTGTTTAAGAAACCAGAATTTTTGGCATAAAAGAGGCCTGGGTTTGTGTTTTAGAGCTATCCCTGAATGCTCCCATGAGAGATTGGATATTATTTAATTTCTCAAAGTCTTTTCTCATCTTTGAAATTGGAATAATAAAGCTTTACACCTTAAGTTGTTGTAGGGATTACATTAGATAACTTACAGAGGAACTAAAATGATACTGGCATATTAAAGCTCAGTAATGGTGGGGCGCCTGGGTGGCTCAGTCAGTTAAGTTTCTGCCTTTGGCTCAGGTCATGATCCCTGCGTCCTGGGATTGAGCCCCACATTGGGCTTCCTGCTCAACGAGGATTCTGCCTCTCCCTCTCCTTTCTTCCCTCTGTCCCCCGCCTCTCGTACTTGCTCACATACTCGTGCACTCTCTCTCAAATAAAATCTTTAAAAAATAAATAATAAAGCTCAGTAATGGTAACAATCACCTGCCATTTGGAGCTGAATGCAGTTGCCTGTGAGGGTTTCATGAAGATCCTATTGTCACATGTTAGTGATACAGAAAATCAGGGTGTATATCAAATCCTTTCAGGGAATTGAATAAGCATGTAAATATAGACAGAAGTTTTTCATTGGGATACACATTGTACAGTGATGTAAGGAGGTATCCAAAGTTTACAGACAGGCGGCATGCAACTTCATGCTGTGATGGAATATGAAGCTCAGGGTTTCAAGAATTTCAGTGCCATAATGTAGAGTGTATGTCTAAGCATCCCTGGG